ATTAAAGATAAGTCAAATCATATTCATTTACGAAACAAGAAAAGAAACCACAAGCATGCCTCATCATCATAACCTACCGCAATTATTTCTCTACACACCGACCGGAGACCAATTCTCTAGACGTAGATTAGATTTTTAGCATAGATATTTTTCATTGAAGGAAATTTATTTGAGATATTGTCAGTATTTACATTGATTTTTATTTGAGTCAACTTATTAATTAGTCACTTGGGCTTGTCTGGCTTTTCTTATAATCCGAATGTTACAACTAGCCCGGCCCATCTCAATGGACTTAACAAGATGGACTACCCAAGAATTTAAAACCCCCCCCGCCCACGAACACACATATATTCAGTTCTTTTAAATTTTAATGATAGATGACTATTACAGGGGTCCAAGTCCTTCCTTACTAATACTATCAATCAATTATATTTAGAAGCCTTTTATTCGGGTTTCTAATGATCTTTCTGAGCTATCTACTCTAAGACCTTGTTTATCATACAACTGAAATCACTTATAAACACATTTTACGTAAATCAAGATATTTTTTTTTTATATATTTGCTTTATATTATATAAATCACTATTGAAAAGATGCTCTAACTTAGTAAAAAATTTTATGTTTACTTAAAGATTTCTTTTACATGATGTGTGTGAAGTTGTGTCTTTATTTTTTCTTAGGTTTTTTTAACAATTTTATTTGTGATTTAACATATTATACTATGTAAAAATCTTTTTTTTTTTAATATCATTTTGTCTTATTTCCAAAAACAAAAAGACAATTTGTCAACTATACATATAAAAAAATTTCTTGACCTGGACACATAAATTTTATTAAAACTATCTCAAAATTTTGATCTTTCTTGCATGGAGGATTAACATCGTGATGAGCAGTGACGTTCTTGTGATTAAGCCAAACGAACATCACACCTAAAGCGTCAACCGTCCTCCTTAATCCTTCTTCTTCGACCTTCACCCGAAAGAGTCACCGTTGTGAATCCATCGGGTGACCGAGCCGAAATGCGTCGTCCAGCACCTAATCGTCGCTCATGAAGCTTCCTGCCACTTCGTTGCTGCTGCTTTCTGGAATGGCGACCATGAACCCTCTCGATTTGTTGGGGTACTCCACTGAAGACCCGTCGCGGCTTATAGCGACGGAGAGGGAAAATGTTGTGATTGGAGAGCCGCTGGAGTAGCTATTGTAATTTCATATCAAGTACACTTTTCCAACTTGCGAATAGGGAGCTCATTCTCAGTTTACAGCAACAAAGCAAGGTGGCTCAGTTGCCTGTCAAGCCGTCGCCTCCAGCTCAGGCATGTAAGCTTCTGATTCCCCTTTTGTTTTATGTCGACAAAAAGAATGTAGTATTTATTCTGTTGTTATTGAGTGAATGTGTTCTGATGCACAAACATGTCTAAACTCTCAAGATCGTGAAATTTGGAACAAAATCATATAGAGGACATTTATTTATCGATTCCTGAGCTTTTTTATTTCTAGTCTCATGCTTTTATCTTTTGTGCTTTTCATTAAGAGGGTAAAGAAGCTAGCTCTTGTATGTTATTTACCATATGGTTGCTGATGGAGGATGTGACTGATCTGATCATTGGGTTTGCAACTATTGTGATGGTGTTATAGCTACTACTACCTCCGATCCTAATTATAAGACTTAGTTGACTAATTTGAGGAGATTAATAAAGTAAGTTAAGTTAGTTATTTGTAATAAATAAGTGCTGTCATTCCTAAAATATCCTTGCTAATAAGTGTATTGGCTAGAACTATTATCATTAGAAAAATTATCTTGGAAAAAAATATATAAATATAAGAGACAAAATGGATTGGGGTCTTATAATTAGGACCAAACTAAAAGTCAAACGGGGTCTTATATTAAAGACCGGAGTTAGTATTTCTTAAGCTCCTCAATTCTTTGCTCTCAATGCTCTCCAAATTATTCATTTACTTCTATTTCAGTTCTGCAAGCAATAAAACAAAAACAGAACCAGACAAGCCCTCGTATTGATTTAGGCCATGTTTGGATTAGCGTTTGAAATCACTTATAAGCATGTAAGCTAAGATAAAACTCCTCTCACATACTTACTCCATATTCTGTAAATTACGATTGAAAAGCGACTGATAAACTTTTGTGTAAATCACTTAGGCTCTTGAACTATTGGTCTTTTGGATTATGCAATAGAGAGAAACATGTTAATTAAGCAGAGGCATTTTAGTGACAGAGTGGTAATAGAATTAGAAGGGAGAGAAATCATGAGAGGAGCAATATAATTCCGTGGCGCTTAATAACAAAAACCGATCAAAGGGTACATAAACATGTGAAGAAGAGTTAGTCCCAAGAGTAGCCAGCAACAGCAAAGTTCAAACTTCAATGTGCAGCATCTTCTTCCTCACAAAACTTTGTGTACTCCTTCGCACCCATCAAGGAGTCCAACTCAGATGGATTCTTGGGCTTTATTTTAATCATCCAACCCTCTTCATAGGGGCTTGAGTTCACCTTCAAAAGACCCCCCAATAAAACAGTATAATCACATAATGTTTGACATTGAAGAACAATATAATGTTTGGGTTGAAGGTTAGAATTGCATACCAGGCCAGGTGCTTCAGAAAGCTTAGTGTTAACCTCAACAATCTCGCCTGAGATGGGAGAATTAACATCACTGGTTGCTTTAACACTTTCAACTGCTCCGAAGCTGCTTCCTTGAGACACTGAGCCACCTGCTTCTGGCAGATCCACAAATACTACCTCTCCCAGATGGTCCTGCAACACATAATAACATTCCTACTAATTAATTCTATTTCTACCCTTTTTCCCAAAGTTCACTTTCTAAGAACTTCAGGCTGCAGAATCTAAGATTAGCAAACACCAACTTTGACTGAACTGTTCACCACACGAAATATATATGCCACAGTAATTCACATCTTTAGCAGATACTCAGAATTATGCGTAATGAATATTCAGAATAAGCAACCTGGGCATGGTCGGTGATTCCAACTGTAGCTACGGCGCCTTCGTGCTTGACCCATTCGTGGGAAGAAGCGTACTTGAATCCATCCAACACTGAACCAGGAACGAATTTGTATAATGACTGGTACCGTAAAGGAGAAAACAATGAAACAGAAGAAATATGAGTGAATATATGTATGAGAATACCAGTGGAGAAGCATCTGGAGAGATGTGGGCGAGAAGCGCAAGAGATTTTGAGGGCATTGGCAGTAGAAGAAGCCCACATTCTGAGCGCCATTAGTACGAATCTGATGTTGGAATTGTGAGTGTGAGCCTCTGGTTAGGGAGAGAAATATAAAACTGAAACGGAGGTTTATTCTATCTTGGATGAATGGTGGCCAACGAATGCCTCATCCTCATGTTCCCCGCCACGCTCTCCTCAATACAATATCTCTTGCTTTCCCCCGTAGTTAAACTGTAAGCACTTGTTCATTTTAACCTTCTGTCCTTTTTTTACCGTACTTTTTTTAATAAAAAAAGCTAATGTATTTTTTTAAAAGAAAATACAACCTCCGTTTCTTATTATAAAAGCTTGTTTAACTTTTAATTTGATCTTAAATATAAAACTCTAATCCATTTTATCTTTTATATTTATTCATTTTTTTTAAAGTATTTTTTATAGTAGGTGCACATACTAAATGTTTCATCAAATAGTAATTAGAGCTAATATATATGATTAGCAAGAGTATTCTAAGAAAGATAACACCTATTTATAATAAATAACTAAATTATTTTTTTAATATCTCCAAATTAGTCAACTAGGTTTTATACTGAGTACCAGATATAGTATATAATTCGTTTAATATTGGATATTTATATTTTTGTAAATATTATATTTTAAATATTATAATTTTATAATATATAAAAAATTTCATTTATATATATTCATTTGTTGTAGTATCATAAATCATAATTATTTTTCTAAACTGAAAAAGAAATTGAGTATAATGTCTGTTTGTCGTGGAGATAATTAATTTTCTGAGTCTAAAGCGGCTTCTGTAATGGGCATTCAACAAAGGCAAATCAGCCGGCTGAATTGGCTTATAGTGGGTCAAGACGAAGAGGCCTGGAACACATTGGGCTCGAGAAGGCCCATTATGCTATGTAGTGCCAATAAGGCAATAATGATCAGCTCTGCCTTTCCTGTCGTTTCTTCGGCTGTCTGTTCGTGTTTTGGTTTTTCCCCATGAACCTTTGACCCTGGTACTCAGTTTGGAGCTTGTTTTGCAGTAAATTTGGCGAGGAATCGATTGATTGAATTGAGTTTTTACGCGCATGGGTGAGATTGTGGAGGAGTTGAATCCTCTTATTGGCGGTAACGATGGGCATGAATTCGAGAATATTAGTAAGGCGGAGATCGTCCTCAAAACCATTGGCCCTGCTCGCCCTTCTCGTCTTCTTGTTCCATCTTCCATCAAGGTATTTGGATGCACTTGGTCTCTTTCATTTAATGCAATTTTGGGTGCTCGCGGTTTTTTCCCAGGGTGTTAAAGGTGGTTTTCTCTTTGCATGACATAGCTTCAGATTGCGTTGGAAATTATTTTTTTATCTTGGAATTAAGTCTGCAAAGATTAATGGCCATCTGAAGAATTCAATGAATATGCAAAGTATGAGAATCATTGCAAGTTCAAAGGTTTAGTTTTCTGGAAATTAGCACCTCACCCGGAAAGAGGAAGTTCTATTTGCGTTGTCTTTTTTTTTTTTTAATTTTTAATTTTTTTTTAAAATATTGACTGAATTGTTTTCATATAACTGGAATTTCCAACTACTTGCTCATGTTAATTACATGCTCTTAAATTTTGAACCTTGGGCTTATTGAGATTCGTCCTGACTGAGATTGTGTCATCTGTGGCCTTGGAATCTTTCCAACCATATTTTACTATTAACTGATCATATATATTTATATATATATATATATATATATATATATTCCCGACGAGCACTAAGACATTTGTTCGTTTCTTATAGATAAGTCTTGTTTGGATAGTGAGGAACTTAATTCAGGTGGAGTGTTGAACAAAAGCCTGAGCCCAAAATATTTGAGTGTAGACAAACAATCTACTCATTCAATAATTTCATGTTGTCTATAAATTGCTTCATAGGACAAATATGTTTTACTGGAAATCATTTCGGTGGACCTTAATTATTATTGTTGCATTTGATACTTTCACTTAATGAGTTTAATGCTCATTTGCAAATTCTTACAATGTGCTTATAATTTGTTTCTCCTAAATCATTTTTAGGTTCGTGATTTGAGAGGATTAGTTGCCAGCAATGGTCGTTTACCGATTGATAATGTGAGTCTTATCCTGCGTGGAAATGTATTATGTGATATGAAGAATGGAGAAGATGTGTACATTCAACTCAATGACGGAGGTAGGTTTTGTCTTAGTATCCTTTTCGATCAATTTATTGTATTTCTTTTACATTAGCTAGCCCTATGTCATCTACGTACAGTATGGAGCAAAGTTTAGTTTCTCTGTGGCAGTATGGCACTTATCAAAACATGCTTGGAATTTGGATGATGATAAATCGTAAACATTTGAAGAACAATCAGCATACATTGTATAATTGCCTTTTTTGTGGTAAACGCCTTTTGATGTTGAAAATCCTTTCATGGTTTTGTTGTCAACGTGCAGCGTATCTCTAATGGCCCTGTATTGCAGATAGAATTTCATTAGATGTAATGCATCAGTAGATCCACTCAAGCATTTCTTTACTTTATTTGAAGGTCCAGTTACTTCAATTTTAAAATGCTAATTCAATTCAATTGATTATATAATAACATTTCAATATTCAATGCATCATGTAAGTGTTTCAGATTCCTTAATTGTTGCTGTCAAACCAAAGCCACCAGTTCGTGATGGATATGATGACGATGACGATGACGATCTGGTAAAAATCATTTTAATAATGTCTGAAGTGAATATAAAGTCAATTTTGTACTCAGTAGAATCTTTCTTTGATTGCCACTTCTCTAGAAGTTTAAGAAGTTTAAGCTTCCCCGTTCGTCAAGTTGGTGGAAGAAGAGGCTTTACTCTTTTCTACACGATAACTTGAAGCTTCCAGGTAACAATCAACATTCTAATGATGTTCATTCAAAATATGCTTAATAAGTTGTGGCTTGGTCTCTGAAAAATGTCTAGTCAGTCATGGACTAATTATGATAATTTTTCGAGCATTCATAGCTTTTAAGTGTTATAAATGTTTTTAACCTTTTGCTGTCATTTTAATTGTCATATATTGGCATAAGGACACAATTGATTTAAATTTAAAACTACAATCACTCAATTGATAGACTTATATACATCTGAAGAGTTATTTCAGGTATGGGTATCACTTGGGGACAGCAACTTAAATTACTCAATAATGAATGAGCTACTGTATACTCTTCTAACGTTAATAATCTGCTGAACTTCTTCCTTTTGCGTTGATAGATATCATTTTGATGTTTATATTCTCTCTGAGCTTGAAAGCATGGGCTTTCACAATCATGTGGTTTATCCTGGCACCCATTGCCCATAAATGGGATCTGGGACCCTTATATGTAAGTCTACTGCCTATCATTGCATCCATATTTGAGACTTTTAGTGATCTGCTGCAGAATGTACTGTATGATCTTTCCAGACATGCATTTGTTCTAACTGATGTTTGTCTCCCTGTAATTTTTCCTGCTTGTTTTATTATTCTTATTATCTTTTGGCCAGGGTTTGTTTTATTCAAAACTGATAACGAATCTGATTTACATGCTTTTATATTATTTTTGTTGCATTTCATCATTTGTCACAACTTCTCCACAGATAATTGCTACGGGCTTTTCTCTAATTCTCTTTAATCTCGGAAAGCGCCAAGCTGGTGACGTCAGGTATAAACTGATACAAAATGTTGTGTGTTACATTATGACAATTTAATCAAGGTGAGATCAATGCTTGTATATTTGTAAAAGTTCAAATAAGGATGGTGCATTTTAGCAACATTCAAGAATCAAACAATGAAAAAATACCAACGGGTGGGAAGAAGAATTTTGGTAAAATACTGATTTTTGTTGGGGATGAAAAAGTATGACAGATCTAATAAGTCCCTTTGTAATATGTGGGAGTTATAAACGCTTATTGTGTGAACTGTTGGCTGTTGTAGCTCTTCGGATTTTATTTGGTTGTTTTGGAGATTGGATCTTATTTGGAAAATCATCAAACCTCTTGAAACTTGTTTTATTACTTTTTCATTTTTCTCAACCCATCAAAGGGATTTTATAGGTAAGCTAGTCCAGCCATTATGTGCAAATATGAAGAAAAATGGGGGAAAAAAAAAAATCTTTCTAATCGGAGCTTGTTGATGATATAGATAATATTCTTATGAATATAAATTTACTAGTGACACCGATTGCCTAAATGAGGTTTTTATATTGATTTGGTCAGTATTCTTGATGACACAATATGTGTTTTGTGAATATAAATGTATTGGTTACATTACATTTGTTTACCTATATGATGTGTTCATATATTGATTTGGTTAGTATTCTTGACTGACACTTGCTTTCTTAATCAACATAATGCCACTTGATATGCAGCCTCTCTTCTTTGTTATGCGTGTTTTAATCACTGAAATTCTTGACATCTATTATTACCCAAGTAATTTTAAGGATTTCAAGGAGATACGAAGTGTATTTCTTAGAAATCATTTGATAGTTTCTGACTAATTTCTGCTCTCCAACACATGCAGCGCATATTCTATCTTCAATGAAGACTTTAGAGAGCTTCCGGGGACCCTTAATGCAGATCGTCTTGATAGAGATATAAGAGCAGGACAGTTTTGAACAACCACCTCCCAAAAAGAGGAAAATGAAAAACGAAAAACCACCGATTCCTTTCTTCATGCTAACACTGATGCGATGCCAATATGAAGTTTATATGTTCTCGAAGTTGGTAACCAACCACGGTTGTTCCCCTCCCCCCCTGTATTTTATCTGTGTTCCCTGAATATCCTTTTTGTATAGTTTGATATATCAAGATTATAAATGAGGTAGACATGTTGTCTTGTGGATACCTGTTTCTGCATTTCTGGTCTCTGGGGTCCTGTGAATTTATACATGGCAAGCTAGTTGACGCGTATACAGTGGCATGCCATAGCAGGATCCAAAAGGTTAAATGCGGTAGCTTATTTTCCCCCATGAAAGTAATAGTCAGCGCTCTCACATGTGATCCAATACTTTAATTTTATTTATAGTGCATTCATGACCTCAAACCATAAATAAAATTAGAACATCAAGAGGTGCTGGATGCATTAATAAAACATCAGGGTAACAATATACAATAAATAATATTATTTCTGGTTTTTAATATAACAGTTAGTTGAATGATTTGAAAAGATTAGAGAAACTAATTAAATTAGTTATTTGTAATAAATAGGTATTGTTTTTTTTTAAATATTTTTATTAATAAAGTATACTGATTAGAACTATTATTATTATAAAAACTATTTTAAAAAAATAGAGAAATATAAAAAAAATTGGATTGAGGTTTTATATTTAGGATTAAAATAAAAATTAAACGAGTTTTTATATTAAAAATAAAAATATATGAGGATGGTAGATGCATATGGAAACCAAAGCCACTGTACTGGATAGGATGTTATTTTAATCTTTTTTGTTTTATTTTGAAAGTAAGGTTAAACGAAGTGATAAATCACTGAGATTGTTTAGTCAAAAAGGCGTTTACAAACTGCCTCTGTGCGATCAACCTTCTAATCCAGGGTTGTAATATGATCATCTTTTTAGGAACATCATTGATGATGCCAGAATGTTAGCAATTAGGGATTGGCAGCTTGAATTTCGTTATATTAGCAGAGAGAAAAATTCTCTTACTGATCCTTTAACGAGATTAGCTCATACGATTTAAAGAAATTTTCGTATCTTTGATTAGCCATCTCCTCATGATAAGTGACGATAGATAGTTTGCTTTATTGCTGTGGGACATCTTGTTGTAGGTTGTTATCCTTTCATTTGTTAATACTGTCTCCAATCTATTTGTAAAACTTTATTTATAAATTATAAATCAAATCTTACAAATAAGACCAGAAATAATACTACATCTGATCTTTAATATAAGATTCTATTTGATTTTTATTTTAGTTTTAAATATAAGACTCTAATCTATTTTGTCTCTCATATTTATATATTTTTTTTCAAAATAATCATTTTAACAATAATAGTTCTAGTCAATACACTTGATTAGCAAGAATATTTTGAAAAAAATAACACCTATTCAGAATAAATAACTAATTTAATTTACTTTCTTAATCTTCTCAAACTAGTTAACTGACTCTTATAATTAGGATTAGAAAGAGTTAGTATATAGTATGGGAAAATCCCAAAAAAAGCCCTTAGAATATACCAAATCCCAGATTGGGTCCTTAAATTTCGAAAATGACAGAATGGGTCATTGACCCAATCTGTTATTTGTGAAATTCAGGCAAATTGACATTTTTGCCCCTGAGCAAAAGTGAGTAGTTATTCTCTAAACAAATCTAGGTAACAGCTTATATTGTTCTAGTGATTACAAGATTCATTATAGTTAATAATAAGGTACTTGACAATAATAAGATACCTGATTATGAAAAAATGAATAGTTATTCTCTACACAAATCTAGGTAATGCTTACATTGTTCTGGTGATTACAGAATTAGTTGTAGTTAATAACAAGACACTTGACTATGAAAAAGTGAGTAGTTATTCGCTACGCAAATCTAGGTAACACCTAAACTCTTATAGTGATTCCTTGAATCATTGTAGTGAATGAATAAATGAGGGCAAATTGTCAATTCGTCTTAATTTCACAAATGACAGATTGGGTCAATGACCTATTCTGCCATTTTCAAAATTTAAAGACCCAATCTAGCATTTCCCACGTTCCATGGACTTTTTTTGGGATTTTCCCATATAGTATTGCGTTTTCATGAGAAAATAAAAAAGATGGCCATTCATTGTACTGCGTCTCTGCCCCTAATTATGTCAAGTCAATCCTCACCCTCCCTCTTGGGATCTGTGTGTGATGTCAGAAGCTACGCGAACGTGGCTCTTGGGCCTCAATCATCAGGATCCCCCTAGCAGTCTAGTTTCCCTCTTTCCTGGCAAAAATTTAGCTATATTGTTTGCTTCCGAGAATGGACTTTTCATGTCCAAGGCTTCTTTGAAGTTTGAACCACATTTAGGATAATTCTTTTTTAAACAGGATGTTTAAATATTTTAAAAGTATTTACAAATAAGCATTCAACACTTAATTTTTTTTTACTTTTATATATACTGAAAATTTATTTTCATAAAAATATTTTGACTGTTGTCTGTTGTTAAGTTTGATTGGTAAATTATATAGTTTGACAAGTATCTTTAATAGTCAAACTTAATAACGGATAATAGTTCAAATAAAAAATATTATAAAATAAAACTTTTACGCTATATAAAAGCAACAAAAAAATTTTCAGGTGCTAGGCACTCTTTCATATATATTTTTGAATGATTTAAACACCTTATTTCTAGTTTTTCCAAGTGATTCCAATTCCAATAATACCATAATTATTACCCGGCTAAACATGTCAAAACTTTCAAGTGATTAATACTTAATGCCTAGGAATAACAATTTCATCATAAATAAAAAAATCATTAAAAAATTAATATAAAAGACAAAAGAAATATGATTATATACTCTTTCAGTGCTTAATATAAGACCTATTTAACTAATTTGATTAGATTAAGGAAGTGAGGTAAGTTAGTTAATTATAAGAAATGTGAAACATTTTTTCTAAAATACCATAATCATCTTTCTTAATACCCCATCTTCATCTTGTATTTGATTATAGTTAAGGGAGTATCCATAGGGGTAATTTAGAGAAAATTGATAAATATAAGAAATGATTCTCATATTTAGAATCAAAACCAACTCAACAATTGGGTCCTATATTAAGGACCGAAGGAGTATTTAAAATCAAGTCAAAGCTATCAAATAAACTTGTATTTAAAACCTGGGGGACTATTCATTTAATTATTTCTTTAAAAAATTAGAATATTATTAATTACTATTTTTTAATTATACCCATCTTTTAATTAATACGAATTTCAAATTGAAAAATCACACATTAAATTTTTATTTTATATATATATGACATGAATTAAAGAAAAAATCTCACAAAAGAAATTTAAAATTATTAAATTTTAAATAAAAAATTTTAGCAAAAATATATTACTATTTATAGATTTAGTATTATAAAACCTCTTAAAATGTTGTTAATAAATTTGGTTTGAAATTTAATAATTTCGAAAGAACGGTTGACAATTGCAGTTAGAGAAGGAGGCAAGTGGAATGGAGAAAGGCAGAGGAGGGTACGGAAAAGGGCCGACAAGGATGACGTCATAGGAGGATCCACCCAGTTAGGCTGCGTGGACCCATTTCCCTCGCTCTGTCAAAAAGGTCGTTGACCAACTGCTGGCTTGTTGCTGGACCCCACTATACCCCAATGAAAAAGAACTTGAAAATTAGTCTTATTGGATGAGATTCGATAATTATTAAGTTTAGTTAGTTCGGATATCTCTTCCACAATGTGATTTTTTATCTACCTTTTTTTCCCCAACTCAGTCAAACGTTTGTGTTAGATTATTCCATCTAAAACCCAATGTCACATATTTAAGTAAATTAATACATAATATTTATACACACACATATTCAACTTTTAATTTCAATTGACAAATAATACTTTCCTATTATTTAATAGAACAATGAAAGTGAAACTGAATTCTTTTGTTTTTTCCTCAAAAAAAATGTTCAGTTGTTCTTGAACCTGATATGCCTTTTCTATCATTGTGTGAAGGGGGTGTTTAGGCACTATAACAAGTGCTTCTCAGAAGTAATTTTTTACAAATCGAAATAAACTTCTCTATATATTTATTTCGTATGCCATAAAAACACTTTTAAAATCATAGTTTTGATTCCATCTAAACACCCTATTATACTTTTAGGCTTCACAGATAGATTCACACGAGAGTTGAATTGAAGGGAAATGAACTCGCCATTTTGATTCTAGCTTAATGGTTAGAAAGATATCTTCGATCTAAATATAAGAGCTAGTTGACAGTTTTAAATATAAGACTTCAATTTATTTTGTCTTTTAAATTTATAATGTGCTCTCAAAAATATTCTTATTAATTGTAAAGTATTTTCACCCAAGTATAGTTTTAATGTATATGATTGAATAAAAAGTAATTTAAGAAAGTCAAAACATATTTGTTATAAAAAAATAATTTAACTATTTTCCTTAATCTCTCCAAATTAATTACCAAACTCTTATAATCAGGAGTAGTATTACTTTTTATATATTCAATTAACAGAATGAAAATCAGCAAAATATTGAAATATAAGGATGAAGTGAAGCCAGGATATATAATTTTCTAATCCGAGAACTAAATAAACATGAAAAGAGATATGAATGAATTGGATATTCTGTTGTTGTCTTATTGTTGCTTATTTATATTTATTTATTTAATTTTTTTGGGATTTAGTTATTTGCAGGTAAGCACAAAGGCAATGGAAGTGGTGGCTTGCCGAGGAGAAATGTGATGTGGAAAACCTTGAAGGAGAATCTGATAAATGAGAAAGCTCTTCCAATTGTGATGTTAAGTTCAATATAATATGGTGATCACTCACCAATTAGCATATTAACCAAAAGGATTGGGTTAAAGAGAATAATGATGGACTTAAGAGATTAATAAGTCCAAAAGGATTCCATTTGAGAATGGCGTTGACGCCAACAGGAAAAAAGATGAATTGCAAGTAAAGCAATGGGAAGAAAACAAGCTAAGAAGAATCTTAATTAGTCATTGTGAACAATTAATGGAGGAATTTATATAATCACAACCACATGAACGCCATTTGATATTGTGTTTATGCTATATTATTGTATTGTGTTCTATAGTGAAATCATTGTCTCTGAAATTTAAATCTCAAATATTATTAACTCTTTAGATTATTCTCTTTTAATTTTCTAAATTTTTATAAAATCAAGTTTTATTTATATTATACGTAATGCTTTGAACCTATTTAAAGCCAACAACGTTTAGGCCTTGAAATCTATTTAGAGCCTACCTTTAATTATGCAGTTTT